TTCAGTACGGCTGCTTTCCACTCTGAGCTGGTCCAAGTGGTCGAGCTTCCCTTATCTGGCCTCGCGCGGGCCTGTGCGGACGACATTGGGGGCGCGCTCTCCGCGATCGCCGACCTCGTTCGAGTCTTCGGGGTGATGTCCAAGGCCTCTGGCATGGCCAACCTCGTGCTGAAGGTCAGCAAGTGCAAGGTGGTCCCTCTCTGCGGGCCCTTCTCCCCTGAGCTCGCCACCCGCGTCCTCCAGGAGATCTCCTATTGGGCCCCCGAGTGGCCCTCCTTCGAGGTGGTCGACTGTCTGCTCTACCAGGGCATCTGGCTGGGTCCGGGGGCCGCTCCCGATCGTTCGTGGACCGACCCGCTCACCAAGCTGCGTTTGCGGGCTCAAGCTATTGGCCGTGGCACCACTCCCGCCAGCCAGTCCGCCCAGTTATACAATTCTCGTGATGTTACTACTCTCTCGTACGTTGCTCAGTTCTCCTGGATCCCGCGCTCGGTCCTTCAACCCGAGCTTGCAGTGCTGGCGCAAGTATTTCGTCTTCCTCTCGGCACCTTCGGTCTCGACGGGTGGGTGCAGCTGGAGAAGTGGGGAGCGCCCAGGGTCATCCGATGGGCGCACCTGGCTGTGGCATCCATCACGCGCGCTGCTCTGCTCACATACCCGTGCTGGGAGCCCATTCTGCCCCGCATGCGCGAGCACATCGCCTCGAGGGACACCGACGTGACGCTCGACATGCTGCCGCACGGGCGCCTGTATCCTGGCTTCTGGAAGTCCACGGCGCTGGCCGAGAACTTGGAGGCTGCAGCTCTCGGTCGTGCTCCTGCGGGTTCTGGGCTCTCTGCCCTCCTGGATGCCGCGCTCCCTGCTGCTCGCGCCGCTCTCTCCCCCGCCCCTGGACAGCGATCTCGACCCCAGCGTGCTGCACACCTTGCTCTAAGCCAACTTGCGTGCTCGGCTCAGCCGATTCAGGTGCTCTTCCGCCGGCGGCTGATGAAGTTTGCTGGGCGTGCGAGGGGCCGTCTCGACTCCATCGACTGGGACAACTGTGCCGCGATGCTCGCTCGCTGCCCGTACTCGCGGGCGTGGGCCGTGCTGCGCACCTGGTGTGACGGCTGGATGACTTCGGCGCGAATCATCTCACCGCTGGGCCAGAGACCATGTGCGTTCGGATGCATGCAGCGAATCGACTCCCTCCGTCACTATGCGAGATGCCCACCTATGCACCGTGCTCTCAGACGGGCTCTGGCACGGCCTTTCCCGCTCGAGTGGTTTTCTCGCTGGGGCCTGGCGTCTCCCTCGTTCTCGTCGTTCTCCCTGCTCACGGCGGCGTGCAACATGCACAACGAGGCCCGCACCATCCGTGAGTGGCCGCTCACTGCCCAGCAGATTCACGCCTGCGCTCTGGCGGGTGTAAGGGCGATGCGTCTCGCTCACCCCTCTCGTGCTTCGGGGGAGGAACGAGCTTCGCTCGCACCCCGCTGGCTTCCTCGTGTGTCCCCGACCTGCAAGCTCCTCCTCAAGTTCATCTTCGTCGTCGAGTTCTTCCTCATCATCATCCTGCAGTGCCACCATCCCCCCGCTTTCGGCGACGTCAGGATCATCATCTCCCTGCTCCTCGGAGGGAGGGGACGACTCGGACGACCTGGTCATGCTCGACCTCCGTCCTGATGCGGTGTTGCATGATGTCAGAACGCCAAGCCCTGCCAGGGGGTGCTCCTCGAACCCTTCTGGTCAGGCAGCTGGAGTAAATTGCGACGAGGCGGCTCGGTCTCTTGCCGCCCTTGGTGCTGAAGGCGTCAGATCGCAAAGTCCTGGTGGCGGGTGCTCCTCGAGCCCGCCTCCCCAGGCTCCACGAGTAAATTGCGAGGTGTGGCCCTTCCCCTCTGTCGGCGTCAGATCGCAAAGTCCTGGGCGTGGGTGCTCCTCGAGCCCGCTGCCCCAGGCTCGAGTAAGTTGCGAGGCGCCCCCATCCTGCTCAGTGATGTCGATTGCGGTGGGACGCTCGCTTCACGGATACCTTCTGTCGACGGCGCCAGTGGCCTTGTCTTCCCCGCGCCCGCCCTGCTCTTCGATTTCGGCTACTCTGACGTCGTCGATTGCTCCGACTGCTCCGTGGGCGGCGGCCTCCTCCTCGCGGATTGCCTCCTGCCGTGCGTTCTCGGCGTCTCTGCGTTCCCAGAGGCTATCTCCTGCCTCTCCCAGTTCCGCGGCGGGGTCGCCCTCCCGTCATGAGCCCCCGTCCGAGAAAATTGTCTCTTTTCATCCTGCCATCTCGCCTCTTCTGCACGCGCACCCTGCGCCCATCTGTCCTCTCACTGAGTCACCTCTCTTCCAGCGCTCTGTTCACGATGCGTCCGTCTTTCCCACGGCGCAGAATCATATCTTAGAGCGTTCTTTCATCTCCTCCCTCGCCTCGTCCCTCGCTCCGTTGAGCTCTGCCCCTGCCTCTGCTTGCCCCCCGCCTGCTCCCCCTCCCTCCGCGTTTGTGCCTTCCCTGTTTCCCGCCGTCACTCCGTCGCCCGCTCCATCGAGTGGCCACACCTCTCCGAATTTTCCCCACGGTCTCAGGCATGCCCCTCCTTCCCGCATTTTGTGTATCCCAGCCGCTGGGCGTGCTCGCCGCAATATCTTTTCGTCCGCCCCCATCTCTTCTTTTCCCCCTCCTCCTCTCGAGACTGCCTTGCTGTTGCCCTCTGCCGTCTCGCCTGTCCTCCCCCCCCTCCGCCTTCCGCGGCATCCGCCGCCACTGCTCTCCGTCTCTGGATCTGTCCTCCCTATTTCGCTCCAGCCTCTGATTGAAACACTGGCTCGGCCGCTGGCCGCCGCTCCGACGGCAACGTCCTCGCCCAGTGCTGCTGCTTCGACCAGGCCCGCGCCCGCGCGACCCGCCTCGCCTCTCGTCGGCCTCGGAGTCGACAAGGCGCGGTCGCCCCGTGGCTAGCGCGGCGGACGAACCCCTCGTTACGCTGGGCTCTTTCTCCCCCTCCTCACTCAGGAGGTATTCGGAGGTCGCCGGGATTCTGAGGCTCTGGTGGTCTGCGGAGGTCTTCGGGTGTCTCCGTCAATCTTCTAGGGTTGGCGGCTGTCTCCGGGGCCTTCGAAGCGGAGCTCTGGCCGACAACTCTTTGTCAGTAACCCATTACATTCTGGCGCCACGCGCCAACCGCTACATCAGTAGGGTCGCCCAGCGTCGTCCGTGCCACGACGTTCCGTCGGGCCTCCATGTCACTCATGCGGAGCTGCTGTGCCTCCCAAACCTTCTGGGGAACATGCCCTGCCCACACCACGGTTCGTCAGGTTCCATATGCTTTGGGGCAGGTCATGCCCTCGCCCCCAATGCACCCGGGGCGCCGTGCTTATTCCCGGGCGCCGGTGCTGTCAGGCTCCATAGCGCGGGGATGGGTCACGGTCCCCACCATCTTCGGCATGTCGGGTAAAAGCAGGTGGCGGGCCAAAGGATGATTAGCGGAAGCCTGGATGGCGCACTCTGCTGGCGGCGGTAAGCTCGCGGACGGCCGTGGAAGTGAAGCACCTTGCCTCTTCGCCCGCTCGCCCGCCCTCCTCTGACCGGGGCTTTGTGCCTTCCTTGGTGGACTGATTCGGGGGATTTTGATTCGGAGGATGCCTGCCCCTGTTCGGGTTTGCTCTCGGCGGGGCGCAGCTGTCCCCGGGGCTGGGGGCGCAACAAACTGGCACTTGAGCGTTCGGGGTGTGTTTTCAGGACTCTTACGCGCAGAGCTGCTTCATTACATCCCTCCTTCAGGTATCCCTGCCAGGACCGTTGGAGAATTCCACTGCCCTCGGAGCCACCAATCAGCTGTACGCGGGGGGCTGGAACTTTCTACAGTCCAGATCGGTGTTTGGGTGTAACGGCCCATCCGCTGTTGAATCTCCGTGCCTCTGGTCGTACCGGTCTATCCTTTTATTTTGGGTGTACCGGGCCACCCGCCGTTGAACGACAGAGGGGTTGCGTTGACGAGATTTCCTGGCGGTCGGCGGCGGGGGGTTCGCGGAAAGGCGCGGAAGTAATGCACTGGACGCGTAAGTAAGGCACCAGCCATTTTGTACGTTTCCTATTTCAGGTACCCTTGTCAGGACGTTTTTGCGCAGCTCCGAGGCTCGAGGTGTCCTGCGCTTGCAGGACGTTGCCGTCGGACATCCGTTTCGACCCTTCTGCCCTCTTCCCCCACCCCACCCCGGTGAGGAACATCATAGGCTTCACCAGCGAGGACCATCATAGGCCTCACACCCCTTGCGGCTGCCATCATAAGGGCCGCATGGGTCGCCCTCTCCAACCAATACGCCAATAAATTACGGCGTCAGTTGCCAATGGAGGGTGCCGAGGCTCTCCCCACGGCCCCTCGGCCAACGAAGACGGCCGTAGGGAGGGGTGCCAATGTACCTCCACAAAACTCAGACCTTCAAGACCTTACGGCGCCAATTGCCGCCATTAGCAGTTTTCTTTTTCTTCCTCCTCCTCCTCCTCCTCCTCCTCCTCCTCCTCCTCCTCCTCCTCCTCCGCCTCCGCCTCCCCCCCTCCTCCCCCTCCTCCGCCCCCGAGCCGCGCGAGCACCCAGGGGCCTTCGCCCCCCGGGCCGGGCTGCAGCCGACAGCGCGCGCGAGAGAAGGGCGGCGTGCGCTCCCCGAGGATGCAGCAGGGCGCCCAGACACGATCGCGCCGTGCAGAAACAAAGTCTGGACGGAGGTCATTCACCGTTTTCGGCCTCTGGACGGAGGTTCTTCGCCGTAAGAAACAAGTCTGGACGGAGGTTATTCGCCGCAGAAAAAAAATGTGGACGGAGGTCATTCACCGTTTTCGGCCTCGTGGGAGGCCCTCGCAGGGCCCTGGGGCCGGCAAGAAACGACGCAGGATGGAAAGCCGGTCCCGGGGAAAAAGAGGTCGGGGCTTCCGGGGGCGCCGTCTTGAAAACATCCGGGCGCCGCACGTCTGGGCACGAGGCCGCAGCCGCTTGGGCCCCGCGGCCCGGGCGTTCCGCGCCGCGGCCCGGGCCACCCGGAGGGGCGCGCGGCGACGCGCGCGCGCGCCCCGCGCCGCCCGGCCGCCCAGCGGCCAGGCAGGCCTCAGGACGAAGATCAGGCTCGTCCCTCGGAGGGGGCAGAGGCACCGAGATTGCTACCCTCGCTCGCTTTCGCCCTGTTGGGCCCCCCGGGAGGCCCTCGTCGCCACGGCAGGATTCGCTTCGAGATTTTGGTCAGCACCCCGGGAAAGGTCCTGGGAACAGCGGTATCGGTACCTTCTTGGGTTTCTTCGTCCACGGCGCTCAGACGAGAGTTGCGGATCAGAGCGTTCAACTGCGCCCTGTTGCAAACGGCCGCGGCGCTCGGTGGATCCCCTAGACCTGCCAACTCTCGGGAGAGATGCCTGGCCGATATCTGCCCGAGCTTGTCCTCGTCCTGCCTTCGTTCGGGCAGTGCCAAGAGGGGTCGCCATCAGGGCAGTCGTCAGGCGATGGGTTGGTTTCCCATAATTCGGAATTGTTGACGCTTCGCGTATCCCCACCAGTCTGCCGCATTGCTGGTTCGGCGTAGCTTCCCCTCGCTTGTTTGCCCGACTTCGTGACGCCGCGCGGGTGTCCGCTCGCGGTCGCGATCAAAACTATCCCCACCAGCCCTACCGCGGCTTGCGTGCCGTTGCCTGCGCTGCTGTTCCCTTCGCTACCGGCGCGGCCCGTCATAGCACGCTCGGCGTTCGACTTGCTTCGCGCGCCTGTTAACCAACAAGTATCCCCACCAGCCCATCCAGAAACGATGCCCAGGGCAGTTGAGGCAGGGAAGTGGGGGAGCATCCAGAATAACAAAAGGCAGGGGAAGCCGTCCGATACCCCACGAGGGGGAGGATGATGGTGGAGAAGGAGGAGGAGGAGAAGGAGGAGGAGGGCGAAGAGGAGGAAGGAGGAAGAGACAGTGGACAACGAGGAGGAGGAGGAGGAGGAGGAGGAGGAGGAGGAGAGGAGGAGAAGGAACATCTTGGCGAGCCCAGGGCCGTCTTTGAGCGTCTTGGGTGCCTCGGGCATCTTCTTGAGATCTCTTGGGGGTCTCTTGGGAGCTTCTTGAAGGCTTCCTGGGCGCCTCTTGGGGCCTTCTGGGCGCCTCTTGAGGCCCTCCTGGGCTGCGCTTGGGAACTTCAGGTGTGTTTTTGGGGCCATCTCGGAGGACATCGAGCAAAAAGAGGGGAACTTCAATTAGTTTCGCCCCTCGGGAGCCCCACAAGTCGCCTCTTGGGGTGCTCTTGGATCGCTCTTGGGCGCTCTTGGGGCAGTCTTTGGGCTCTCTTGAGCCTCTCTTGGGGCCCTCCCGGGCCATCTTGGCTTGGAGCCATCTTGAGGCTTCGGATGGCCATCAGAAACGAAAAGGCGAGAAATCAATTACTCCGACGGTAGGACCCCACATGAGAATCTGTTTAGCTTCCCCTTAGCCCTTCCCTCCTCCCTCTGGCGGACACTGTCCTCTCGCCTTCTGCTTTTCCCTCTCCTCCTCCTTCTATTTATCATCACCTTTCCCCTCCTCTTCCTCCTCCTCCTCCTCCACCTCCTCTTCATCATCACCCTCTCCACATACCCCTTCCCTCCTCCTCATCCTCCGCCTGCCTCTTCTCCATGTGCACCTCCCCGCCCCCCTGGTCGGGGCAAGCAAATCGATGTTCGTCGGCGCCCTCGCCGCCACGGCAATCAGGCGCGCTTGCCGACGGCTAGATCGCGAAACCGTTGGGGCAACCCCGCGAGCCGCTGGGGCGCGAGAGCAAGCCGTTGGGACAACCCCGCAAGCACCGAGCTCATCGCGGCCGCGCTCAGGCGGGAGGCAGCACGAAACCCAGCTCTGCCGCGAGCTGCTCCGCCTCGGCCCTGGAACCCACCGCTCTCTTGTCGAACTCCTGGAGCGCCTTCCGCAGGGACGCCGGCGGCCCGCGTTCCAGGCACTCCCGCGCGGGCGGCCGCAGGATCAGCATGTTCCGCATGCACGTGGCGCGGGAGAACATGACGTAGAGGCGCAGCCACCACTGCTCATCCGACATGCCCGTGCGGCCAGCGTCCGCATCCCTGGCGCAGTCGATGGTGACGCCCTTGCGCAGCGTCTGGCCCTGCGACAGCGTGGAGGTCAGGTAGGACGCGTGCGTCAGCGTGAACCCCGAGCGGCGCACAGCGTGCGCCCCCGAGCTCTGCCACGTGAGCTCCTGCTCGCTGGGCCTGAACATGAGCAAGCTCCTCGCCCGCGCCTCGGCCTCGCCGTCGTCGTCAGCGCCATCGGCGCGCTGCTGCAGCACCTCGGCGACCTCCTTGTAAATCGGAGACTCCTGGAAGCCGTGCACCTGCAGCCATATCCCCTGCGGTAGGTAGCGGGGGCGGAAGAGCTGGCCCGGCGCTCACTCCATGCCTCCATGCCGACGCGTGCTGGCGGCGAGCGAGGGGGGGAAGTGCGAAGCAGAAGGCCTTCTCAGAAGGTTCGGAAGTGAAGTCCCCCGGCCTTCTGACACGTTGTCCAAGCCTTCCCCGACGACAGGTAAAGATTTTCAGAAGGCGCGAGTGTTTCTGAGAAGTCCCGCCTCCTTCGGAGAAGGAGTTCTCCTTATCATTTCTCCCACACACACACGCCTTCTGAGAAAGCCTTATCATTATCATTTCCCCCCTCGCTCGCATTGTAATCTAGGAGGGCAAATCGGCCAGTGGGGCCCAGGCCACGCCCATGGGGATAGGGGCCGGTGGAACGGTGCTCGTGATCGGGCCGCGTCGGCACGAAGTCGGCATCGAGCCTCGGATCGGTCGCGCCAGGACGCACGGCAGCACAACGCTGGCAACGCAGGCGTGTGGCCGCACGGCTCCGCCGCGGGGCCCGAGCACACCCCCCCCCCGCGCGGAGCGGCGCCGCTCTTTCTGGGCCCCGGGGCCGTGCCTCCGTGCCTTTTTCGGGCCCCGGGGGTGACAGAAACCGATTGAAACCAGAACGGGCCAAACAAAAAATTGCGTTAGTGCCCCCCTACCCACAAACACGCAGGGCGTTTTTTGTGGGCGGCTGACGATGGGTTACCACCGCCAGCCCGGACGCAAGGGGCGACCCCTGCGCCCGATTCGGCTGACGATGGGTTACCACCGCCAGCCCGGAGACAAGGGGTTACCCCTGCCCCCGATTCGGCCGAGGATGGGTCACCACCCCCGGCCCGGACGCAAGGGTTCCCCCCTGCGACCGATTCGGCTGGCGATGGGTCACCACCGCCAGCCCGGAGACAACGGGTTACCCCTGCCCCCGATTCGGCCGAGGATGGGTCACCACCCCCGGCTCGGACGCAAGGGTTCCCCCCTGCGACCGATTCGGCTGACGATGGGGCACCACCGCCAGCCCGGAGACAAGGGGTTTCCCTTGCCCCCGATTCGGCCGAGGATGGGTTACCACCCCCGGCCCAGACGCAAGGGGCGACCCCTGCGCCCGATTCGGCCGCCGATGGTTCACCACCGGCGGCCCGGAGACAAGGGGTTACCCCTGCCCCCGATTCGGCCGAGGATGGGTTACCACCCCCGACCCGGACGCAAGGGGCTACCCCTGCGCCCGGCCGCCGCTTCGGCCGAGGATGGGTTACCACCCCCGGCCTGGACGCAAGGGTTTCCGCCTGCGCCCGGCCGCCGTCGTCCTCTTCAATTCCTGTTCCTCGTCTTCCTCCTCCTCCTCCTCCTCCTCCTCCTCCTCCTCCTCCTCCTCCTCCTCCTCCTCCTCCTCCTCCTCCTCCTCCTCAAAGCACAACAGTGACGACAGGTACGAAAACCCGAGGACTCTTGTAGCTGCGGGACCCACCATCATGATGCGTCATCATTCCCGATCGTGCCGCGAGTGGGATGAGGCACCTCCGTGAGAGTTCCCCCTCGATCCTCAAAATCGGTTTAAAAATCGGTCCTCAGACCTCCAAGTGACGACAGTTAGTAGAATCCGATGACCCGCTTCGGATTCGAACATGATCTGCGGGCCCCATAAGGAGGGGCTCCCGCCTGAGACTTCCTCGCAATGCACTCACAAACGAGGTTCCCGCTCGATACTTCCTTCATATTCAAGCCTGAAGAGCCCAAAAGTGACGACAGTTACACGTTGCGGATGACCCGCTCGGATTAGTACAATGATCCGCGGGTCCAATAAGAAAGGGGCTCCCGCCTGAGATGTCCTCGCAATTTAGTCACAGACGAGGCTCCCGCTCGATATTTCCTTCATATTCAAGCCTGAAGAGCCCAACAGTGACGACATTTACACGTTGCGGATGACCCGCTCGGATTAGTAACATGATCTGCGGGTCCCACAAGGAGGGGTTCCCGCCTGAGACTTCCTCGCAATTCACTAACAGACGAGGCTCCCGCTCGATACTTCCTCCATATTCAAGCCAGAAGAGCCCAAAAATGACGACAGTTACACGTTGCGGATGACCCGCTCGAATTCGTAACATGATCTGCGGACCCCATAAGGAGGAGCTCCCGCCTCAGACTTCCTCGCAATTCATTCACAGACGAGGCCCCCGCTCGATACTTCCTCCATATTCAAGCCCGAAGAGCCCAAAACTGACGACAGTTAAACGTTGCGGATGACCCGCTCGGATTAATAACGTGATCTGCGGGCCCCATAAGGAGGGGGTTCCCGCCTGAGACTTCCTCGCAACTTAGTCACAGACGAGGCTTCCGCCTGAGACTTCTTTGCAAGTCACTCACAGACGAGTGAGTGATGACGAAGTGATGAGTGAGCGAGTGGGTGACGAAAGGGGATTATGCTGATGATGATGAGTGATGATGATGATGATGATGATGATGATGATGATGCTGATGGTGATGGTGATGATGATGGTGGGCGATCGCATGACGATAACGTTGATGATGTTGATAATGATGATAATGATGATAATGATGAGAATGATGATGATGATGATGATGATGATGATGATGATGATGATGATGATGCTGATGATGATGATGATGATGATGATGATGATGAGTGATGAGCGATGAGTGATGAGTGATGAGTGATGAGTGATGAGTGGGTGATGATGTAGGTGTGTTCTGGTTCTGGTTCCTGCGCGGGGTGTCCAGAGAAAACAAGAACCCCACTTTGGATGTGGGGAAAAACCATTATGTCTCCTCATGTGTTGGAAGGATTTGGGCCTCTTCGGGGCCCCTCTTCGGAGCCTTCTTGGGGAGCTCTTTGGCCACTTGGAGCCGTTTTGGAGCGGTCTTGGGGCCTCTTGGAGCATCTTGGGAGCCATCTTCATGCATCTTGGGATATCTTGAGCCATCTTGGAGCTCATCATGGGCTCTCCGAGGCGCTCTTGGAGCCATCTTGGGCCATCTTGGACGCTCCACCCCCTCGGGGGACCCCCTGTCCAGGTCCAGAGGAGGGGGTAGGGGGAGGGGTCAAGACACCCTCCAGAGATTTAGCAAGCCGTCCAACTCACTCCCATCCGCCCTCCCAACAAATAAGTGACATCCGAGCCTTAGCATGTTCAGCGGTCTTCTTTGGATGGACAGCTACTGGAAAACAAAACCGAGTCCATGTGCGCGACGCTGGGGCGAGGTGCGCCACGCGTGCCAGGCGCGCCACGCCCGCCAGGCACCCCTGGGGCCCGAGCGTGCCAGGCACGCCTGGTGCGCCAGATGCGCCACGTGCCTCCGCGTGCGCCAGGTGTGCCGCATACTCCAGCCGCGACAGGTGCGCCACGTTCGGGACACGTGCAGAGTGTGTCAGGTGCGCTTTCGCACGTGACAGCACACATCGGGAAACATGTCGGCCCCCACCATCCTTGTCAGAAAGCAATGCCCATCATTGTGTCTGGTGGGCCTGCGCACAGCAGGCCATACGCCACCACCCCCGCCGTCCCTGTCAAAAACCACTTGACAATGATCGCGGGGTGGCCGCGCACAATCAGGACTTAGCCGCGAGGTGCATTTTGTATAATGTTTTGTCAAGGATGGTAGCGCTGCGCACAGCAGGAAACATGCTGACACCCCCGCCGTCCCTGTCAGAAAACGTGCAGAGTGCTCGCGGGCATCATGAACATTATGAACATGACTCCAGACTTTGCCCCGAAGTGTACTTTGTAGTGTTTTTGTTGACAGGGATGGTGGGGGGCCCGCATCGGGTTGATTGCGCATGCTCCGAATTTGAAGGCAGAGTGCGTTTTGTATTGTTTGTCAACAGGGATGGTGGGGGGGGGGCCCTCACGGTTCCTGGTTGGCCGCCGGTCGCCTGGGGGAGGGGGTGTACTATATACATGGGGAACAGTGATAAACCCTAAGGGGACGAGCAGATGAAAGACAAAACAACCTTGACCACCTACGACCTGAAGGGCTGGTGGGATGATGGGAAACATGGAATCACCACAAAGAATGGGGTTTTCGTGGTGATTCCAGGTATCCCATGATTCGCAGGCCTTCACCACCAGGGGGGTCACCGAGCCTTTCCCAACCTCCCGCCCCGCGGATCGGAGCGGCGCGCTCATTATCCGCTTGCACGGCACAGCTTGTCGCCGGCGCCGCCGCCGCAACACGCTAAGCAAAGGTTCCTGACCGTACCTGCCGCTCCACATCGCCACATCGCCGATGCATCGGCGATGCGGCGTGATCTGGAGCCCGAGTTTCTTCGTTACGACGGCGCCGATGCATCGACAATGTGTGTACTCAAGGGTTGCAGGAATCGGGCTACCTGCCGCTCCCAAGGGACCCAAGGGCGCGGCTCCAGCGGCGTCTCCAGGCGGTGCCGCGAGGGCGCCTGACTCGCCGCCATGTTCTTCGTGCCGACGATCCAGGCTCCCGACGTCGTGATGTTTTCATGACGTCGACCCCAAGAGGTCTCGACCCATTCCCCAGGACCGGTTTATCACGCTGACTCGTTTTTGACATCCCCGAGGCCCGGGAAGGGCCCCGGGAGGCCGCAAATACAGTCAACCCGCATAGTAAGGATGAGTGATTTTCCAAGGTTACCTTTTCATCCCTCCCCTTCGGCCAATCCTTGGCCGCTTTCTTGGCCGCGCCCCGCCCGCAAACTGTCGACATGGCTTTCCAAGGCCCTTGCATCCGTATCGTGCGTCCTTCTTATACGGGCCGACTGTAGCGAAAAACCTCCCGTCGTGTTTTTTCCGTGACTCGAGGGGGTCTTGGGACGCCGGTGCATCGCCGATGCATCGACGATCGTGGTGTCGGCGGCACCGCAACATACTACTACTATGTGTGCGTCGCCCCCCAGGGGCGACGCGCGCACCGAGAAACCTGATAGCATATGCATCGTGGCGGGCGTTTTCTGGCCGTACAGCTGGAGGAAACGATATACCACAAGATCGGTATACTCTGCGTTCGCGTCGGACGCGCGCCTCCAAGAAGGGCATATAGTATGATACTAGAGAAGAACCCCATCATAATCTGTTTAGGGCGATGGGGCTCTGGGGCTATAGGGCTATCGGGTCATAGGGCTATAGGTCTATATGGCTATAGGGCTATAAACCTATAAAACCATAGGGCTATCGGGCTATGGGGGCTATGGGGCTACAGGGCTATAGGGCCATAGGGCTATAGGTCTGTAGGGCTATGGGACGATAGGGCTGTAGGACAATAGGGCTATTGGGCTATAGAGCTATAGGGCTATAGGCAGATTGAGCTATAGGGCTATAAGTCTATAGGGCTACAGGGCTATAGGTCTATAGGGCGATTGGGCTATAACGCTATGGGGCTATAGGGCTATAGGTCTATAGGGCTATAGGGTTATAGGGCTACACGGCAATAGGGCTACAGGCCTATGGGGCTATTTGGCTATTGGGATATAGGGCTATAGGGCTATAGGGCTACGGGGCTATAGGGCTATAGGGCTCTAGGTCTCCAGGGCTATAGGGCTAGAAGGCACCCAGGCACCCGGGCACCCCGGCGGGCTGCGGAAATCGGTGGCAAACCTCACCTAACCATGTGAATCCGCTAGGACCCCTACAGAGGCAAGCTCTGATTGGGGAGCAGTGGGGGCCCATACCAAGAAACACCCTGCTCACCTCCAGGGTGCCCTGGGTTTTTGGGGGTTCGATGGTTTCTCTATGGAAAGCTTGACGTTCCCACACCAAGAATCAATGGACGCCCTGGGGTCTCAGGGTTGGGTTTCTTGTGGAAGGTTTCTTGCGGACTGGCTTCCACTGTAGCCTCCTCCCTCCTCCTCCTCCTCCTCCTCTTCCTCCTCCTCCTCCTCCTCCTCCTCCCTCCTCCTCCCTCCTCCTCCCTCCTCCTCCCTCCTCCCTCCTCCCTCCTCCCTCCTCCCTCCTCCTCCCTCCTCCTTCTCCTCCCATGGTGGTGGACCCCTTTGGCACTGCCCAGCTCATCCACGGCGGGGCCGATGGAGCGCCACTCCCGGCCCTCGGCCTCGGAGCTGCTCCGGCGCAGCCTTGGCTGGGCGCGCAGCCTGGCGCCGAGTGGCGGCGCGCTGAAGCCGCCGCCGCCGGGGGACCGTCGAGGGTCGTCGTCGTCTTCGTCGTCGTCGTCGAGGGAGGAGGAGGAGGAGGAGGAGAGGAGGACGAGGAGGAGGACGAGGAGGACATCGTGATTCCTCCTTCTCCTCCCCTCCTCCTCCTCCTCCTTCTCCTCCTCTCCTTCTCCTCCTCCTCCTCCTCCTCCTCCCTCCCTCCTCCTCCTCCTCCTCCCCCTCCTCCCCCCCCTCCTCCTTCCCCTCCTCCTCCTCCTCCTCCTCCTCCTTTTCCTCCTTTTGCTCTTTTTCCTCCTCCTCCTCCGCCTCCTCCTCCTCGGTGACCAGGACCTGGCGCGGCACGTGCTGGCCGACATGCCGCCCGACTTTGTGCCCCCGGGCTACGCACCGTACGAGGGGGAGGACCTCCCCCACCTCCTCGCGTCGTACAGTTAAGCCGAGGTATAAGATCGAGGTTGGTTTGGGGAGGCTACCTTCATGTTATTTGTGTGTTGGATGTTTTTTGCATCCTGGGGGAGGGTACCCTGGAGTGATCTTCTGGTTTGGGGTGTTTTGGCCGGCGGAGGGTCTCATGTCCTTGAAGGATGTTCTTCTGTCCTAGGTCCGGCTGCAAGAAAAAGCGTGGCGGTAGGGGTTTTGCAGTTTTCGGCGTCTGGGGGGCCTCAGAAGGGTTTCGGACCGTCGACAAACGGCTCTGGATGAAAACACAGCCTTCAAGGCTGTTGTTCATTACCGTTTTGAGCTTTCAAGGCTTGGGGAAAGGGCGATACACCCTCAGTACTTGCTTGGGCGGGGAGTCCTTAGTACCGTACGTTCTTAGCTCCCCGGTAAGGAGAAAGAGCCCGTAGTCAGGCTATTCTAGGCCTCCTAGATGGGGTCCGAGTAGACGGGGTCGGAGGATCGCGTCGCATCGACGATGCATCGACGATGCGGCTCGATGTGGAGCCTGTGTTTCCCCACGCCGACGTCGCCGAGGCATCGGCGATGCATTGGCGATGCGGCCCGATCCTTCGACCCCATCTGCTCGGACCCTTTCTAGGAGGCCTAGAGTTAGCCTGACTACGGGCCCTCTCCCTTACCAGGGAGCTAAGAATGTAAGGTACTAAGAAATTCCGCCCGAGCAAGTACTGAGTGTTTTGAGCCTTCAAGGCTACAATCGTCTTGAGCTCGAGTACGTAGTCAAGCTAACAGCGTTTTGAGCCTTAAGGCTTGGGGAAAGGGTCGGGACTTCTGGGTCCAGGGTGGCGCGCCGCACGAGGGAGAGGAGCTGCAGCAGGCACGCATGATCATCAGGCGAGGAAGATGTAGCCATCGGTCGTTGAAAGTAGGTATTTCTGGATTCCTGGATTCCAATCTACTTTAAGCGCCTTCCTGCTTCAATGATCGAGTGGCTTCACCGTTTCCGTCCTCTTTCGGGGGGGGCGGGCGGAAATCCGATCTGCTTTCAGCGCCTTCTTACGCCATGCTTCTACGTACTTTTTCCGACCGGTGGGCAGCGGAGGCGCTGCTCCTCCCGGAGGCCCAGGCGTGATCGCGTCGCAGGAAGCTCAGGACGAAGAGCTGCTCGCCGTGTTCGGCCTCGGGAGGCCCTCGCCCGGCCCCGGGGCCGTGAGCAGAACGGCTCTGGACAAAGGGTCGGGGCTCCCGGGGGCCGCCTGCCGAAAAGTCAGGGCGTCGCAGGTTTGGGCTCGTCGCCACGGCCGGGTTCGCCTCGAAGTTCTGGTCGACCCCATCAACTCTGACACCATCTAGGAGGCCTCTACCTCCTCTTGTCGCGAGAAAATCGCGACGGCAGGCGTGTTGGTAGCAGGCGCGCCGCCACGGCCGGATCCGCCTCGAAGTTCGGGTCGGAATGCACCCCAGGGAGAGGGCCGAGGACATGGGGACCGGGGCTGCGCGCTGCACGAGCGTGAGGAGCTCCCCCGTCTTCCTCAAGGCCTCCTAGATGGTGTCGGAGTTGATGGGGTCGGAGGATCGCGCCTCATCGCCGATGCATCGGCGATGCGTCGGCGATGAGGTGCGGCGATCCTCCGACCCCATCTACTCCGACCCCATCGAGGAGGCCTCTACCTCCTCTTGTCGCGAGAAAATCGCGACGGCAGGCGCGTTGGTAGCAGGCGCGCCGCTGGAGGGGTACTCCGCGGGAGTTTCTTGCCCCCCGACGGCTCTGGCAGCCCACAGGGGTCCTGGGGCGCCTCAGGGAGCGCTCAGAGGTCGACGGCCGACGTGCGTCCAGACTCATTGCAGCAAGACTTTTTGTCGTGTGTGTGTGTGTGTGTTTGTTTTGTGTGTGTGTCTCTGTGTGTGTTAGTGTGTGTGTGTGTGTGTTTGTGTGTGTGTTAGTGTGTGTGTGTGTGTGTTTGTGTGTGTGTTTGTGTGTGTGTCTGTGTGTGTGTGTGTGTGTGTGTGTCTGTGTGTGTGCGTGGTGTGTCTGCTGCACCCTTCGAGCCCACGACGGGAGTTGTGTTCGCTATTTTTGGCCTCCGGGGGCCCTTACCCGACCTCGGGTCCATCAAGGAACGACTCATGATGAGAAGCCGGTCCTGGGGAAGGGGTCCAGACCTCCGGGGATCGACGTTGTGACAAAAATCATGGCGTCGGGGGTCTTGGAAGACAGCTGCCATTCGAGGTTCGAAGTTGTCCGACGAGTTCGTCCTGGAGGTTCTCCAGCTTTGAGATGCCTTTTCCAGGGGCTGCGCCTCACCGAGGGCGTTCCTGCCCCTCCTCTTCCTCCTCTTCCTCCTCCTCCTCTCATTCTCACTCCTACGCTGCGGACGCGTGGCGAGCGGTTCGGGAAGGAAACCCTCGCGGGCGCCGTCTGGCGCTCTGCAAGGGTTGCGGCCAGCTGTACGGCCGTCGGCGGCAGCGGCAAGCAGCAGCCGCCTCGAGACGTTCGCTCGGCAGAATCGTCAATCGGCCGATCGAGGAACAGAGGAGGAGTAGGGGGACCCCTGCGGCAAGGGGTGCGCCATGGGCGCTGAGATCGGTCGTCGCCGATCTGCCTCGCGCAGCTCTCACTTTGTGGGATGCTGCGCCCTCCGACTTGCTAAAAACCACTACGCTCTGGGGGGTAGGGGTCCAAGGGCCAAAAGTCGGACCAGACATTCCCTGGGAGAAGTTTTCCGACGGGGTCCTCGGACCAACCGAACCCCCCCCCCCCCGGAGCCTCACTCAACACCTTGCTGTCTCTACTTCGGGCTCGGACTGACAGCGGTCGCCCACCCCTGGTGTGTTGGCCACCAGGAGTGAGCGGTCCCCCGTCTCTTTCGGGGCCCGCCTCACCGCTCCTGAGCTCCAGCATCTGGCAGGCTGCCAGGTCCCGCAGCTCGATCACCTCGCTCCGCCGCCCTACGCTCTGGCACACCTCCAGCATCACGGGTATGCCCTGGCACATCGCGTGGGCGGCCAGCTGGATGCCGCTCCTCACGGCGTCGTTCTTCTCCCTGATGTCCCGCCCCGCCTTCGGCTTGGCTGTCCAGTTATTGTCGACGCTCGCGGCGTCTTCGCTATCATCGCGGCCACCCTGCCCATGTTGATCTGGTGGGCCCACTTCTCCACGCTCTCTGCGTCCAACCTGGCTGTGGCCGTGACGATACTGGCGCAGTCCATGTCCGTGCCGTCCGCTGCCTGGATCTCGTTTTCCATCATGTCGATGTAGTCGCCTTTCTCACGCTTCTCCCAGGTAGCGTACACCACGTATTGCTGCATATGCTCTGCCATATTTGGGACTACCCATGTTCTTTCCATCCATGCTGGCATCGAAGGCACCGTCGGTATCTGGATGTTCTCGCTGTCCGTGCCTCCTTGTTCTTCAGCGTCCAGTTCTCCCTCACCTCTGCCCTCCATGTCGGTCTCGTCCATCCTGATCTTCTTGCATGGCACCAGCGCTTTCTCCGCTATGTGCCCCCTATGTTTTAGCCTCTAGATGTCCTCCGCTTCCTGCTTTTATTTGTGCATTGCCTCATTTTGTTCCAAAGGCTCCCTCTTTTCTGTGTACCATTTCAAGTATTGCCTGCATCTGTGTCCCAAATGTATGATTCGCCTCGGCCGCGTTCCAAAATCTGTCTCACCTGCCTCGCATAGGTTGCCTCTCGCGTATCTTTGTGCGGTATAGATTGGCATGTGGTTCTTGCGGTGTCGTGTCCAAGCTTCTCTGTCTTCTGTGCACCATTCACACACATAACATGTGTACCCATCCTTCTGCGCTTGTCCTTTCCATGGTTTGACGGCCGTAACTTTTTACATGTGGTCCATAGTTCGTCTCCATTTGTCCTCGCTCGCGTCGTCCGCGTCTTTGTCAAGCTTTTTTTGACCGTCGTCCGCCATGTTTTTGTTCAGCCACTCCAAGTCGTGCTCTATGTTGTGGGCCCACGTTCCTTGCTTCCTGCCAGCATGCGCCTCGCCCAATATCCTCCGAAGTATCGGCGGCCCTTTGTGGATGATCGCCTTGAGGAGACGTGGCCACCTGTATATCAGCAATGTCTGTCATGTTTCGCTTTGCCAAAAGGGTTTATTGTTTGCATAGCTCTTCACATATTTCAGCTTGACCTTGTCGCATACGTTGGGGTTCTTACATGTTGTCTGTACACATCTCAGCTCCTGGCTGTGACAGTGTGTTCGTTGCTGAAGTTCTGGTCTCCAGTTGCCGTCGCTCGTTTGTATCACTCCAAGGTGAGTGTATCCCATCACCACTGTTCCATAAGTATGGTTTGCATCTATCCTGATCTGTGTTCCCCCTTCCTTCTGGTATTTGATCTTTGCTTCCGCAATGCGTGGCCCCGCCAGGTGTAGTGTAGCCGCGGTTTTCCCCAGCGTCGTCACGTGCAACAGCGCGAATACATTCTTGATATGATCATCGTTGTTCCTGTTAGCTGCCACCACTGTCGGTATAGCTGTGTCGCCAACATAGCTTGCATTTGCGACCTCTTCTTCTCTGTCCTCCCCCGTCGAGAAAATTCTGCCTACGCTGCCGCTGACCGAGCGCAATACTCCCATCGTGCTGAGGTTCTCGTTGATCGCGTCCAGCGGCGTTCTGTAGATGATGTTGAAAAGGTAATCCGCCGTTGAGCGTTCTGGTCTCGAGCCTCTCTTCGCTATAGCTGCATATTCCGTGCTTGCGGGGTGGGGCCATGTCGCCATGCAGGATTCTGAAAGCACGGCCCATAAGTGCGGTGGTACATCCGACTCTGCAATTATTGGAGGCATCCTGACCGCCTCCTCTAACAAGGGTCTGAAGTGCTGCAGTATGTCGCTTCTCTGAAGTCTCTCCTCACCGCCCTCCGCTGAATGTGGCATATCCACCCCCATTGATCGTAGGACCATGTAAAATGCGTTCTTGAGGTCGACGTACACCAGCATGCATGGCTTGTCTTTGTCGTTGGTTGTCTTCACCGTCGTGCGTA